TTACATGGCAATAAATGGCATCTTAGGGATCCTAAAACCTGCTTTCCAGATTAATAAAGGTCTCTGTTGAAAACTGCAAATTCAATGCACATAACCTGAAGTTTATTATGCGCATGAAACCCTTGTGCACCGTTCTTTCCCTTTGACCCGGGCATTGATTTTGCTGTTAGTTTTTTTTTTTGTAACGACCAAATGTTTATTGATTTTCAAGAAATATTTTGATCTCGGCTTTAGGAGCTAGGGCAAACTTTCTGTTTCATCTGCTTCACTAGAGCACTTAGTCAAGCTTACATAATTCTGAGGGCTGCAATGAGAATTTGATGAGCATATAGTTCATTTGAATAGCATAAGAGACTGACTGGTATGTCTGACCTTGCCTGTGGCTTACGCTCTCTTTTAATAGATAAACTGGCATTTTTGGAGATACCAATGGTATTGAAAACTACAGTAAGCTGTACTGGGATTAGTATTATTCCTTTGGTCTCATTTCAAAACAGCTGCACAGAGAGAAGTAGGTGAGAGTAAATGGGTGAGATGAGAAGGAAAGATCAGCCCAGAGGAAGTTAGGAAGGTGCATTTGGTTTAAACCAAACAGGTTTAAATAGTGACTGTACTGTACCACTTTATATTTTGTTAGGCCATGAATGATTGTGGCAATCAACCCATTTGTATATTGACTACTTCCAGGCCGACTCCAAGTACAGGCATTATGGGTAAAAGAGAGACACATTCAAGACAAATTCCCTCACTAAAGGTCAATCCTATTGACCAAAGCAACAAAGGCCTTCTCTGTTATCTATAACTAATTAATTATGGCTGAACCTGGAACAGGTTGTCAAACATGGGGGCCGGGAAGGGTTTGGCCCCACAGCAAACTAGCTAAGTACAGTGTAAAAAGAAAGAAAGACTGACAGCTTATTCTATGCATATTGCATAAACATAAAACTGCAATGAGTAAGTGAAGCAGAGGTTACATCAAAGTATTTTACTCACCCACACAAAATGAAACATTTATAGCATCACAGCACAATGTTCTTTTTTTCTTCTTCTTCTTCTTCTTCTTCTTCTTCTTCTTCTTCTTCTTCTTCTTCTTACCCTCACAGATATCTAAAATCACTTTGAAGTAAGGATGGCAAGCATCACCTAAAGTAGTTTTATTCAAGGGAGACTAGTCACGTGGAACAACACAGAGTGGGGCATTCTAATTTCTGCACTGAGTTTTGTGGCTCACTATGCTTGTCACTAAGCAAGTATCACCAGAAGACATTCTTCCATCAGTTGTCTTCTCTATAAAGGAGATCGGTTTAGCTGCTTTTATCTGAGATCGCTTTCTTCCTGACACGATCCAAATCTCGTTAGCACTCGCGAGTCAGAACGTAGGTTGAACAGTAAATAGAGAGGTTGACATTTTGGCTGATCTATTTATTCATCATGATACGTCAGAGTAGCACTCGCATTTCTGCAGATGAGACCCCAATCTGTCTGTACCTCTCCCTCTCCGATCTACTTTCACCTGTGGACTTGTAAACAAGACATCCAAACACATGAACGGAGTCCGTGAGGAAGTGATTGGCCCCCCCACCCCCGAACCCAGCAGCAAGCAATCCACCAGTTAAGAACAATGACCTCAAACTCAGGACGAGTGAATTTATCATTTCTGCTTCAAATCTGATTGCAAACTACTTGCATGTCAACAAAACCGTAGCAACTTCAAATGCTCCCACAGGCCCTGCTGAAAAGTATATCAATTTGAATAATAACTTGTAAGTTGTAAGCCTTCTCCAGATTTAAAAAGCACACTTGAACTGAACAAACAAAGCCCCATGTCAATTTCACCAATTCTACGCAAGGACCCGCTATATTATAATATATATCCAGAACTTTCAGTATCTTGAGACAAATCTTCTCCCCTGATGGTGCCTTTAGAAGGTGTTCTTCTAACAGTCTCAGTATCTTTAGACCTTTAGATGGACTTGCCTTTTCCCAAGTCTTTCTCCTGCACACCGAACATGTTGTCTGGATCGTGGAGATCCTGAATGTGTTCCCACCACCTCCCACAACTATGTTCTTAAATATGATCAGCAACAGTTATAAGATAGGTTTAATACTTTTACCTGGTACATCACTGACTCTTATACTAGAATTACTAAATTGTTCAGAATGTTTATTTTCACCAAAAAAAAGAAAGTTTTTTTTTTTTTTTTTTCTGTTGAATTTCATTTGACTGCCAAAATCATTATTGCACATTCTGATTTGTAAAGTAAAATCTTAGGCAGGAACATGATCATTTTGAATAAATACTGATACTAAGGACTCAACTGCATTTAAGTAGTTTATATGTGGATTTTGAAGATTTATTCATATAAAACTCACTAGGAAATGTACATGTTGTGCGCAGTTGACATTGATGATACGATAAGCAGCTTTATTGACGCTATAAACCAAACCAACATGCATGCAGTAAAACATGAAGATTGCAGGCATACATTTAGGGGAAATCATGTATTTTGAGACCATCTGGATTTGAGTTTAGTACAGCAGACAAAAAACAGACAGAATCTCTTGAATGGTAGCATATATACACTTCCGCTTGACTATAATGAATGATGATGATGTGTGAATGCAAACGTAAGATGGTAGAAGACCGAGTAAAACAGAATGAATGCGAGTTTATTTCGGCATCCTTCACGCTTGTCTGTCTGCAAGGACAACCTGACACCTGCCAGCGCAATGAGGCATCTGGTGTCTGAGTGCACACAGGTGTAGTGTGTATTACGTGTACTTTGTTGTGGTGATCCGTGCGTATGTGTGCGTGCATTTGCATGTGAGACTGAAAAGTTGCGTTGTACATTTAGGGTTGTTTTCTTTGAAGGTTTCCAGATTATCTTGCATATCCGCCACTGTAAGTAGCCCAGGTCACTGTGTTCCCAGAGGCCCACATGCCAATTTATCTCATGTATATGTGTTTTTGTTTGTGTTAAGGATGTAAATTTTATTCTGTCCTGGAAGTGCAATAGTCCTGACAGATTGCTTTAGTGCGACCTCTACTCTGGAGTTGTCACTCTGTATTGCTGGTTGCTATGGTAGATTCTGCCTAAGACCCATGCTCCACATATATACACAGTCCCAGTATTTGGAACTCCTGTGCTCCTATATGTTTCCCAATAGGCAGGCAGTAGCTGTCTTGTTTTTTACTGTTTGAAATGTACAAAGTTCCAGTATTCAACAAAACATTTAGAGAACTTGTGTGTGTGTGTGTGAGCGTCATTGTTTGTTTTTTAAAACTAAATAGCAGAGGCATAAAATGTCAGCAACCTAGATGAGCAGTAATTGTCTGTAAATTCATCTTGCACTCCTCTCCACTTTATATCATCCACATACATTTTTTTTAATATTACAGTGAAAAACAATAAAAAGACACTGTGTGAGTTCTTGGAAAGATAAATACTCATGTGACATGGTGACAACGAGACTTTGCTTTCATTCTGTGAACAGTATCTGATTCACTAAACACCTAAACACACAGCAGTCTTCTAAGACCTATCCTAGAAAACACTAGATATGCATGGATGTCCTTTTTAAAAGGTTTTTAAAGTTGACCAGTGCTTGCTTTTATTTAGACTCTAACAATATCTGCAAAATTAAGCCTCTTTTAATTCACGCAACCTGTGTAAATAATTCAACTTCAATTAGACACCACTGGATGTCTATTCCCCTTTGACTTCTCGACCAAATTTTCTCATAGCTTAGAGGAAAAGGTAATGTCTTTTCTGTGTCTTATCGCTATAATTTTATTTTCTTGGGATGCTATTATATAATATCAATATTTGTGATGTAGAACTTGTCAAACTGTCAATGTAAAGAACATTAATCTGCTTCACTCATCGCACACTAACTGTGTGCGATGAGTGATTACAGAGAATTTTGTTTATATAATGTCCCTTTTCACAAATCTATTCAGATAAGTTCTGAGGCAGCAATTCAATCTGTGAGATGCAAAACAGTCAAACACAGGAAGACAAAACCCAAGAGTGTGATCTGTGGAGAGTGAAATTAAGTTATTGACAGCAATAGCTCAGCCAGATGGCTCCTTCAAGGAAGGAGTCGCAGCTAAGCACTGTGACACGAGACCAGGTGTAGTTTCCATCACAAAAATAAATTGAGAGACAGCAGAAAATTAATAACAACAAGCACAGATAAAGCATAAATAGAGAGGATTAGGAGAAAATAGCAAAGTGAGAAAAGGTGGTCAGTAGGTCCTCTAGTAGTTCATAGCAGCATAACTACAGGTCAGGATAACCTAAACCTCCCTACCTCTAAATTATTGTAACAGAATTCAGAGACAAAACCCTCTCAAAATATGACGTTAGGAGAAAGTTATTTTTTGTTTTATTTTGTTTTGTTTTTTTTTTGCTTGTTTGCTTCTTTTCTCCTCCACAATATGCATGTATGCGCAAGGATTACAACAGCAGTGGGTGGAATGATCGCAAGATTTAAGATTTAAAAAGACAGGTTCAAAAGATGCCCTTGTTGTTTCACTAAACAACAACACACTGTTTGGATAAGATTTGCCAGAGTGGAATTGTAGTTTCAGACATTTGCAACCTGTTTTAGGGGGTACTTATACTAATATAATTATCACTTTGTAAGAGGATGCGATATTTTCTTCATTGCTACATTACCTTTATTTATTTAACCCATATATTCAAAAACCGACATTATTTATTTATTTATTCATTTATTTATTTTTTGAAAAATCTTATTCAAAGCAATTCTCCTTTAACTTCTTCCCATCAATATAATACCATACTAGCAGTATAAATCAGGATGAAGAGCCGTCACCCACATCATGCGTCGGAGAGTATATCTGCATGTATTCTTATGTACATGCACCATGAGCTTCATAAATCCCCCTGTTTTGTGCTTGCTTAAATTTACGGGGCTGGCTTTGTGAGGAGTGAAAACTGTGTCAGAAGTCACTGGTGTTAATGAAAGCTTACCATGCAGCAGACTCGGTAGCCTTGTCAAAAGCCAGACTCACAAGCTGCTTCAAAGTCCTCGACCACTGCATCCGCCACCCGTGAACTGCTTAACAGGGAGGGCCAATGCAAGGTCAAGGCAGCTGTGGGAGCCAAGACAGAGAGAGGAAGGAACAGACATGAGGCATGATGAGAAGCAAGATACTGATCCCATCAACTTCCACAACACACATTTAATACGGCATCAATCTATCCTCTGCTTTCAGCCGTCCTATAATTGCACACAGAAAGCAGAGCAGAGGTGCTTTAAAGCTATTATAAAAATGTCAAAGTTAAATATAGGCATATTCAACTTTGTGAACGTTTCAAATGCAATGCTCCACAGAAGGCTACACTTAAATATAGACGGGTGCCATTAAATAAATTCCATTCATTGGTATTAAAAATATATATATGATTATAACAACGGAGATTATAATATTTGTAGTAACTACAAGTATGTTTTCAGTCTGGAAAAGCTGCTTTGTCAACTCAGAGTCAGACAGTGTGATAAGTCTGAGTGGACAGCAGCATATTTCCTTCGTGGAGCTCAGTTCAGGTTCACCCAGGATTTATGCACAGGACCAAACACAGGTTTGACTTTGTTTTCTAGCAACATCTTACCAGATTTGTTCCTTTATGGATTACTGAACCATCACACGGGTGGCTCAGTGTTATAATAATCCTACCTTTGTATGGTATTTATGTTTATTGTTTGTGTCAGATCTAAGGACAATCATGAGTTAGACAAAATCAGTTTAAGACAGAGATTAGTTTGACATGTTTACGTTTATTTATTTATTTTTTAATTTTCAGAACTTCTTTTGTACCACAGCAGACATATTTTTACTTGACACCAAGCTAAACAGAAAGTAGGAAATATGCAAAGGAGGAGCATTACATTCTTTTACAAGTGGATGAGTAAGGAATAGTCATATGTTTTCGTATTTTGTGAGTTAAACCAGTGACCTTTCAAGACTTTCTCATCTCTAAACAATATAATCTGAATAGCATTTGAGTTTAAACAAATGAGAAATTAGTTATATGCACCTTGTAACTTTTATGCAACATAGTTGCATTATAGCCGGACTGTTGTTTTTGTTTGCTTGTTTTCTGAAAAACACCAGAAACAAATACATATACCTAGACTGATCAATGACCATGATTCAGAGTTGAGCCAGTTTGTCTCATAATTATTACTACAGAGAGCTAACATGAATGATTAGGAAGACAGTATGCCTATTCATCTGGGAATATTTGTAACTGAGATAAATTATACATTGAAGAGAAAATTGTGTTGAGGTCAGAAGTAGTATATTTTACCAGTGTTACCAATTTTTATAATGCTTTGTGTGCAGCCAACATAGCATTACAAACATTTTAAAGAAACTGTTTAGAAATAACAATAAAGATGTCAATAATTGTTTTACATTTTCTTATTTAAAATGTCCTCAAATGAGGATCAATTCTTATTTCTTTCTTTTGTTCCATCCTGTATTTGTGTTTGCCTTGCCTCTTGGCCAGAGCTACTCTATTGTTTTAGTCAGACTTGCTACAGGCAGCTGTGTTTTCTCCCTGCCCAGTGGGAAATTGTTTCTCGAAACACACAAGCTAGCCCATCTGGGAAAGCATTAGTGACAAAGGACACTATGAACCAATTCTCACACACTTTGCCAACACACAGGTCAACAGGGTCCTGAAGCTGTGTGTTTTTATCAGAGCTGATATTGAATAGTCAGTTGTAAAGTTACACAATTGTCTTTTTAGTCTACTTTAGGTCTAACTAGCAATATAAAGCTAGCATTTTCTATGCTATATATTGTCCAATCTAATTTATTAGTTCTGACCTTCTTTTATTAGTTTTTATTGTTATTCATTGCGTAACACTTTTATTACTTAAATGACATTTGTCTTTTAGTAATTGACAATCTGGTGGAAGACGCGTGTCCCTGTGCCCCTGCACAGCCTTGATCTGACGTAAAGTGATTGATTCCATCTGTCTTGATATGAATGATGAAGGATATCCATCCTTCTTCTACTTAAAAGGCCAACTGCTCTCCTCCCCGCTCCCTCCCACCCGTTGTTTTTCTGTCTTCCTTGATCTTTTCTGCTTTTCCCCCTTCATATTTGGCGGATTTACACATGAGCCAGCTTATAAAGAATGGCTTATCTGCTAACATTGTTTGATTATGACAACAAAACCACATTACGTTTTCATCTTGGATTGTTTTGTGTTCTAAGCTGCTTCAGTCCAGCTTGTTTTTTCAGGTTTCTACCATGTTCAACAATGGCTCAGTGGTATCGAATGTTGTGACACAATATTTCAAAGCAGGTGTTTTTGATAGGTTTTTATTTCTAAAATGTGACAAGAGTGAGTAAGAAACTCAATGAAGCTGAAATCTTACAAATGGCTTCACAAGTTTGTTCAAACTGAGGATTTGCTGGTTTTGAAAGTCCAAGCAATTAAGACGAATCCAACGCTCATTTTACTGAATGAGCGCTGGATTCAGTAAAACGTTAGATTTAAATAGTGCTAAATCACAATGAATGATCGTGTGGTACTTTACAAGGAAAGCAGGTCCAGCTCATATGTAGGATTAAATAATCAAATTATTACAGGTACGTGAAATCATATAGAACATTGTTTCCCAACCCTGGTTGTCGAAGCATCCAGCCCTGCATCTTTTAGGTGTTTTCCTTTTTCAGCACACCTGATTTTGAAATGGTTGCTGATTAAGTCTTTTGCTGAACTGCATTCATCTTGATCAGAAAAACTAAAAACTTGTCATCAACATTTTCACAAGCACATCTTCGGACAGTTCACATGGACGTATTTATACATCCTCAGAACTTTGGTTGCTGTATGTAGCTCCTAAAGCACAACTGTCAATTGTTTCTGTTTGTAAGGATAAAGTATTGTACCTTCACACGGTGTGGACGAATGAAGACATCATTTAAAGTGCCAGGAGCCTACAATATGACACTATCTGGCAATTCTCCCAAACTGTGTTGCAACTTGCAATTGAAATAATCTGTTTCATTAATCTTTCATTCAGCTGGCCTGTGGAGATGCACGTTGACTTGTTCCTTTAAATCTCAGTGTTCTGACATTTCTGCCATGAGATACACCCCGCTGCCATTACGCAATAACAGCAATCTGACTTGGGATAAATGGTGTCTTTGTCTATTGTCTACCAGAACAACAAAAAAATCACTGGCACAAGAAACACTCCACTCTCCAAAGCCCTGCCATGCCCTGTTCACAGAGGGATCCACAGAAACCCAGGGGCATGGTTAGGGATGAGTTGTTTCTACTCAGCCCAACAAAAGAATGTAAATTCAAAGACACTTGGAGGAAAGAAAAAATAAATCATTGGACACTCAAGAAAAGGAATGTGTTTTCTCTTTTACTTAAAAAAAAAAAATAAGAGATTTAGATTCATTGTTTTGCTAAAGAATTTTTTGTATTTCACGAACATATTGGATTACCAATTACATTGTCCTACTTTGGAGCAGTGTAAAAGCCATGTCCCGGTTGAAAGACAGCAATTTAAATAACTGCTGAATGTGCCCGTTTTAGAACAAGTAACAGAATACTTTTCTTCAAAATGTACATTTCGAGTTCCATGTCTTTCCATCTTTAGCCACATCTGCAACCAATATATACATATGCATCTTTTGATATGTTGATTTTAATCTTTTTTTTTTTTTTT